TGTCAATGGACTTTGAAAATATTTGAACTATTACAAAAACTTTAACGTAAATTCTAAGTCGAAAAAGGGGCATAATTCTGTCAAAATGCTTGATAGAGTTACCTCCTCCTGTCTACAGGTTGGGGGGTCATGACGGTGAACAAGTGTGCAAAGTTTCAAAGCCATATGTCAATGGACTTTGAAAATATTTGAACTATTACAAAAACTTTAACGTAAATTCTAAGTCGAAAAAGGGGCATAATTCTGTCAAAATGCTTGATAGAGTTACCTCCTCCTGTCTACAGGTTGGGGTCATTATGGTGAACAAGTGTGCAAAGTTTCAAAGCCATATGTCAATGGACTTTGAAAATATTTGAACTATTACAAAAACTTTAACGTAAATTCTAAGTCGAAAAAGGGGCATAATTCTGTCAAAATGCTTGATAGAGTTACCTCCTCCTGTCTACAGGTTGGGCTCATGATGGTGAACAAGTGTGCAAAGTTTCAAAGCCATATGTCAATGGACTTTGAAAATATTTGAACTATTACAAAAACTTTAACATAAGTGGTTACGCCGACGCCGATGCTCGGGTGACTGCAATAGCTCTACTTATTCTTATCGAATAGTCGAGCTAAAAATGATATAATGTAAGATTAACCCTTTCCCCCATGAGCATATTGTGAAAAATGGCCATTTTCACTGAAAAGCCTCCTGTTACAAGTTCAAACTGCTATGAAACTATGAAAAATGCTTCAATACTAATCAAACTTGGCACAAATGTTGACTGGACCATTGCCTTTGTAACGACATGCTCAGTCTTAAATTTCCTGTTACCCATGGCAACGAGGGGAACATCTCAAAATTGCCAAAATCACTTTTTTTGCCTCCATTTTTTTCCATCAAAATTTATTTCAAAGTGCTGCAACTTCTCAAGGGATTGAGGATAGAGTCAAAGGCTTTTCAGCATTGGTTACACGTTACATTATGATCAACCTGGGGTTATTTTAAGCCTCTCACAAGTCCAAAATTTTCTTGGCGAAGAGGGGGACTCCGCCCCCCTTCAAACCCCCCAAACAGAAGGGGGCACAGTCCCCCTTGCTGGCAACCCCCTGATGTAATATTTGGATGGGGGACGGCGCCGAAAAAAATGGTCACTTTTTTAAAACAACATTTCTCAAAAAAAAAGACAGTGTTTGGGGCCCTAAAATAGGGCATTTTTTCAACTGTTTGAGGCCTCAAAAAAGGGGGGGGGGGGGCAAAAAAAGGCCGTCGAAACACGCTTATATAAGGGAAAAGGTTAACAAAAAATGATGAAAAACCTTGGAATCACCCAAAATCTAGATTTTCCATGTTAACAATGTGGTCTTTTACCTTATTTTGGTGAAAAATTGTTGTTTTGTAACATTTATAATTTTTTTAGTTAACCCTTTCCCCATGAGCATATTGTGAAAAATGGCCATTTTCACTGAAAAGCCTCCTGTTACAAGTTCAAACTGCTATGAAACTATGAAAAAAATGCTTCAATACTAATCAAACTTGGCACAAATGTTGACTGGACCATTGCCTTTGTAACGACATGCTCAGTCTTAAATTTCCTGTTACCATGGCAACGAGGGGGACATCTCAAAATTGCCAAAAATCACTTTTTTTGCCTCCATTTTTTCCATCAAAATTTATTTCAAAGTGCTGCAACTTCTCAAGGGATTGAGATAGAGTCAAAGGCTTTTCAGCATTGGTTACACGTTACCTTATGATCAACCTGGGGTTATTTTAAGCCTCTCACAAGTCCAAAATTTTCTTGGCGAAGAGGGGGACTCCGCCCCCTTCAAACCCCCCAAACAGAAGGGGGCACATCCCCCTTCTGGCAACCCCCTGATGTAATATTTGGATGGGGGACGGCGCCGAAAAAATGGTCACTTTTTTAACAACATTTCTCAAACAAAAAGACAGTGTTTGGGGCCTAAATAGGGCATTTTTTCACTGTTTGAGGCCTCAAAAAAGGGGGGGGGCAACAAGCCGTCGAAACACGCTTATATAAGGGTAAAGGTTAACAAAAAATGATGAAAAACCTTGGAATCACCCAAAATCTAGATTTTCCATGTTAACATGTGGTCTTTTACCTTATTTTGGTGAAAAATTGTTGTTTTGTAACATTTATAATTTTTTTAGTTAACCCTTTCCCCCATGAGCATATTGTGAAAAATGGCCATTTTCACTGAAAAGCCTCCTGTTACAAGTTCAAACTGCTATGAAACTATGAAAAATGCTTCAATACTAATCAAACTTGGCACAAATGTTGACTGGACCATTGCCTTTGTAACGACATGCTCAGTCTTAAATTTCCTGTTACCATGGCAACGAGGGGACATCTCAAAATTGCCAAAAATCACTTTTTTGCCTCCATTTTTTCCATCAAAATTTATTTCAAAGTGCTGCAACTTCTCAAGGGATTGAGATAGAGTCAAAGGCTTTTCAGCATTGGTTACACGTTACCTTATGATCAACCTGGGGTTATTTTAAGCCTCTCACAAGTCCAAAATTTTCTTGGCGAAGAGGGGGACTCCGCCCCCCTTCAAACCCCCCAAACAGAAGGGGGCACATCCCCCTTCTGGCAACCCCCTGATGTAATATTTGGATGGGGGACGGCGCCGAAAAAATGGTCACTTTTTTAACAACATTTCTCAAACAAAAAGACAGTGTTTGGGGCCTAAATAGGGCATTTTTTCACTGTTTGAGGCCTCAAAAAAGGGGGGGGGCAAAAAGCCGTCGAAACACGCTTATATAAGGGAAAAGGTTAAGAGAGATTTTCTATATAATATATCTGGTATACTTCCACCTAGGTCAAAATGAGTGCATTCAAATTATAATGTAATATTTTAGCTGCACTTTTGATACTTCACTTTATCAATAAAGTATTATTTATTGGTTTGATATTGATAAATGTCAATAAAAGTCCTAAATTGTTTGCTCAGGGTAAAAAACCTATTCATATTTTAATAGAAAATGGTACATACTTTTAAAAACGATTTTTTTTAAAGCAAATGTTAATGAGTCAAACTTAAAAGATAATTTTTTTGGTTGTTTGTTTTTTTTGGTTGTTTGTTTTTCCTTCAGTAATCCATACAAAATATTATGATCTTTAAAATATACGCTAATAATAATATAAAGATATTCTTCAAAACCTTACAGACAGTTGATGTGTGATCCTTTAGCATATCAAGCATTGACAAATAGTTTTATTAAACTTATTTTTGAGGTCTTTACTACAAAGCTATTTACCTTAAAGTGAGACCTGTCTTCAGATTTGCTACGCCTCGATGTTGACTTCTTTTTCAAAATCCTCTTTCCTTTCTGTGGCTCATGAGTACTTTGAGGTCTTTCTTTCTTACCCCTACCTCCTGCTCGTCCCCTTTTAAACTCAGGGGGTTCAAGGTCACTTAGATATTCCACATTTTTACTTAAAATATCATCTAAACTTGTATCCATTAAAGATTTTTCCACTTTTGATTTTGCCTCAACTGGTTTTACAATCTTGGATTTATCAGGTCTATATCTTTCAATTCTAAGAACTTTGTCAGGTTTTTCTACTTCCTTATGGTCATGCTTTTGTTCATGCATCATATCTAATTTCTCTTCAATTTCTTTTCTATGCATTTTAATTATTTTTGAATCTATTTCATGTTTACCAATCATATCTATATCAGGTTTGGTTGTAATTTTTTCTTCAGCATGAATTGGTACAAGCCTTGGATCTAATTTTTCTGCAATCTGTTTTTTGTGAAGCTCAAATATTTCTGATGGCTTTTCATGTTTCTCCACTGGCTTCTCTTCAACATGGACACTCTCTCGCTTTTTTTCCAGTTTCTCTTCAACCCGTTTCCTATGTAATTCAAATAAACTTTCAGTCATATTTTCATCTTTAACTGTTTTTGTTTCAGTAACTTCTATTTTTGATTCTTCAGGTTTCTTCATAATTTCTACTGGCTTTACTTCCATTTTTGTTTCCTGTTTCGCAATATCTTGTCTTGTTATTGTTTCTGTTACAGAAGAAGGCTTAGGTTTACTTAGATTTTCAAAACTAAAAACTGATTTCTCTTTCGCTTTTTCAACAGTTTGTTTAACAGGAGTCTCGGGTGTTTTAGCACTAGTTGGTGTTTTAACTTCTAAACTTGTGAATGAAGTCTGACGGCCGGGAGGTCTTTCAATGGGGGATTCAACAGTCTTTTCAATATTTGGCACTCTTGTGACTTCTTCTACTTTTTGTGTGACTTTAGGTGGTTCTTTTCTAGAAAGTTCAGTAGTAGTTTTACTTGACTTAACATCAAATTTCATAGGTTTAACTTCTGTTTTTGCCACAACACTTTCAGAAATATTATCTTGCTTTGAAGGAACACCTTCAAAAGTTTTGGCAAAAGCTCTTGAAGGTGAAACACCTCTAGGTGAAGATGGCACCTCAGGTGTTTTTCCAGTAGCTGTTGATACAGTCTTTGCTTTCATGTCTAGTTTGACTTGAGATTCCAATGATGATTTAACTTCAGATGGTGCTGCCGTGGAAACAAAATCTTTTTCTTCTTGTTGTCTATGTTGGTCTCTCCTTGACCTACTTTTCGGTATTTTTGATTTTTCACTATCGGACCTTGTTTTTGGAATAATTCCGGTTTTCATTTCTGGAGTAGGCTTTGAAGACTTTTCCTTATTTTCAAAACTTCCAGATAAAATTTGTTTTGCATTTTGATTTGTTTCTTCTTTCTTTGATTGAACTTCAGATTTCATTGACCTTTTTGCTTTTTCCTCCTGCTTTGGAACCACTTGCTCTTTCTTAACATAACTAGTTCCAAAGTCAAAACCTGGCATTTCAGATGCCTTACCAAATCTCTCTTCAGCTTGTTTTCTTCTTTCACTTCTTGGTGAGGAAGGAGGTTTTTCGGGACTTGTCATCTGTGACCGATTGTAGTTTTTCCTCTTTTACATTTTTATCTAATTGCGAGATCTTATTTCGTCATTCAATTGTTTTTCTTTTCTATGAGAACGTTTTTCGCTCTGGTTGAGTTTGAATCTCAGATTGAGCAAATGCAGTGCCCTGTTTTTCATCTTTATGAGCTTGAGGTTTCTTCTGAACATTTTCAGATTCTGACAACACCCCTAATAAAACCTGCCTAGAACGTTCTAAAGAGTCTTTTTTATTGAAATTTTCTTCAGATTTTATTTCTTGCTTAACACTTTTGTCAGGGACTGATTTCTTATCTGCTTTTTTACTGGTATATACAGTTCCAAGTTCAAATCTAGAAGCATCAAAAGCACTTGCATGTTTATCATCTTCCACAAATTTATGTTTTGCTCTTTCAATATTTTCAGCAACTTTTCTCTTACTTATCTGTTCAGCAGTCATAGAGGATAACTCTTCCTTAGACACTTCATTTTTATACTGCTTAATGTTTTCTACCTCCTTTTCTTTTTTCAAAAGTTTTTCTTGACCTATATTTCCAACCTTATCTGTATCTTTCACAGTGGAACCTGTACCTAAAACATCTTCTACAGATGGTAACTTCCTTCGAATTCTTGAAGATGAATCAGCACTATCTCTTTCTGAATCAATATCCTTTTCAACTTCCTTTTTATCTTCTAAATTTAAACTTTTGTCATCTCTTTTGTTTTCAGGTTTTCTTTCTTTCTTTGTAAACACAGTTCCAAATTCAAAATAACTTTTTTGTTCTGTTTCCTTTGGTAATGGTTGCTTAAATGTTTTATCAGTTTTTCCAGCTGTTTCTCTCTCAATAGAACTAGATCTTATTCTTTCACGCACTGGTGATTGTGCTTTTTCTCTAGAAGATTTTTCCATAACTCTATCAGCTTAGCAAGGCTTTTGATGCATAAGAATACAGGCTTAAACCAACATCAACTTCATAAAATTTTTTGATTTTTTTAAAGGAGTACCTTTATTTTATCCCTTCATTTTTGATTGCCCCTGACCTTTTTAGCATTTTTTCTTTTTTTATTTTTCCTTGAGAGCTTAAATTTTTGTAAATGATATTATCAGAAATTATTTTTTCTGTTCATTTAGATTCATATATGCCCTTTTCCTTTTTTTTACTTCAAAAGGGGTTTTTACTTGATTTACCTATTTTCTGTTTATTTTTAAGCCCAAAGGGCATTTTATGTGGTTTTCACCCTAAGCGGGGACTTTGATTTTCAGAAAACCCTTGCATCTTTTTTAAATACTTTAGACCAAATTATTAAAGCTTTCCCTTGTTTTTTATAAAGATGTTTCAAATTTTTTAAAAACTTCTAGATCTAGATATAGAAGAGTCTTCTTGCTCAGGTTTGCTAGATAGGAATAAAGATGGTAACTCTGAGCTTTCTCCTTTCGCAAACCTTTCTTGGAGAGTTTTTAATTGTTTTCTCCTCTCTTCTTTATATTTAGCTATTCTTTCAACTCTATTTAATTGTGCTTGATCTTCTGCACTGTCCAATTTACTATCATCTTTAGTTTCAGCTGGTTTCACTAAATCGGTTTTGTCTTTCTTTGTTAATGCCCCTAGTTCTAAAGATTTTGCTTTTGCATATTTCTTATATTTTCTATCACTTGTATCTTGTGTCTCTACTTTTGATTCTTTGGTATCTATTTCAACCTTTTTTGATTGAGTCTTTTCTTTTGACTTTTCGTTTTTCGATTTTTCTATTTTTTCTGGCTGTGTATGATATGTAGATGATGTTGAAGTGACTGCTGTTGCTGCTGCTGCTGTTGATGATGTTGATACTGATGATGTAGTAACAACAGGTGATGGCTTTGAATAAACTGAACCAAATGGTGATGAGTGATCAACATTTTCAAACTTCTTTGACACAAAAGACTTTGCCTGTTTTGATGAACCATGTAACATTTCCTCTATTGTTGGAACAGAATCTGACTCCGAAGATTTAGACCTTACACTGCTAGTATCTTTATCATGTTCACTCTTTTTAGACCAAAAATCTTTATGTTCATCAAGTCTATCCTTTCTGCTAGACCTTTTCCTAGACAGACAATCATCATTTGTTGGAGTCTTTTCTCGATCGTCATCACGTTTTATCATATACTTAGCTTTTAAATCGTCTGACACTAGTTTCTGTCTAGCTAATTTAGTGGCATTTTTTTGTTTCTGCTCATCTAACATGGAAACTGGTTCATCTGTGTGAACCCTATCCCTGTTTAGAAATTTTTTTGAAGAAAAAACTACTGGGTTTATTCAGACCTTTGAAATTTTCCAAAATTTCCCGTTTTTTATCCAAATTTTGGGAAATTTTGTCGCGAAAAATTTGCGAATGAATTTATCAAAATTTTCCTTTGTTTTATTTAAACTTGGCTCTTTTGCCCCTCGGAGTCTTTTTTTAGTTCCCTTTTAGCCTTGCATCACCCCTTCCCAATTTTCTAATGTAAAGGGCCCCATTCGGGAAAACGGCAAACCTTTTTGCCTGTTTCCCCGTGCCTTTTTCCTTTTTCCCCAAATTTTCAAAAGGCGACATAGCGCTTGCCGAAAATTTGGGAAAAATCAAAAATTTATCAAAGGGCTTTTATCTCCCCATGCTTTTCACTATAAGCAGATGAGTCTTTAACATTTGACCTTGACCTATCAATGTCCTTGAAACTTGACCTTGAATCTTCCTCATGATAAGAACCTCCACGTGGAGAACTCTTATCACTTTCTCTATGGTAAGTTTTACGCTCCAGTGACTTTGTTTTCTCTTTTTGTGCTTCTGGAGCGATTGATGATGCCATTTCCTCAAAATTTCCGCTGCGTCGCCATGACGAAAACGGCGCCCTCGCACCAGGATCATCATACTGTTTCTCTGCTGTTTCTTTGTAACGATGTTTTAGTGCATTGAACAGGGACCTGAAATTACAGACAATAAATCTCTTAGTCTGTTTCACAACATTATCCAACACTGTCTTCTCTGAAATGCAATGATTCATTATTACTTATTGAGCTTATGTACCTCTTTAATTTATATTCTCTGACTTGTAGTTTTTTTACTTTAACATTTTGTATAAAATTAGGTATTTTGTTTATCATTAAGGGACATCAATAAGGGACATCTGTGGGTGAGTGGTTAAGCGTTGGGGCTTTAAAAACAAAATTTCCCCCCAAAAGCTGTGGGTTTGAATTTATAAAGGGGCTTTGGGGTTCTTTTTTGGCGGGAAAAAGCTTTCAAAACCCCGCCTTTTGGGAATTTTCAGTGGGTTTTACTTTAGGAGCCCCTCCATGCCTAAAATTTTAATTTCACCTGAAATTTAAAGGGTTTAAAAACTGCCGTTTTGATCGATACTGGGGTTTTGGTGCGACATAAAACCTATCCCCGAAACAAAATTTATCAAATTTCTTAAGTAAGGGAAATTTTAAATAAAAAAAAAATGGGCTTTTTTAAAAAAATTTTTTTTCTTAAATTCTTTTAAAAAAAATTTAAAAAAAACAAAATTTTTACAGAAAATTGTTCAAATCATAAACAAAGTTTACTTCTCCTTTAGTATAAAACCCTTTTTTTTCTATAAATAAAACCCGATAAAAACTTTTTTACGAAAAAAAACTCACCCGACTGTTAAAAAACTTTTTAAAATTTTTTTTCCTTGAAGTTTTATTAAACACATATTTTATCACCAAAAGATAATTTCAAAAAAGTCTTAGATCCACAATTTTTTAATAGAGGCTGTTTTTAAACCTATCCAGACATCACAGTTTGTATATGAGATTTGAACTACTGGGGGATTCTTTTTTGATTATTTAGCTTCTATTTTAGAGTTATATATAAACATAAATTTGTTAACCTTTGCACATAAAATATATCAAATTGACTTGTTTACCTTTTCATCCGGACAAACCATTTTTACTTTTCAGTGCAAATTTCAAGATATGTTTACATTTGTTAGGCTTTATGGAGCACCAACACAGATTAGGTCAAATGGTGCCGAAACAAGGATGATTTTGGCTAACTTTGGGTGTTACAAACTTAAAGCAACACCACCCCACCTGCTGGGACTAAGAGATGCATAGATTCCAGTAATAATTCATACTCATTTATAAGTCACCTCTTATGATCATGCAGGGATAAACGGTGGCTGCAATTCTGATGTCTCAACCCCTCAACCACAAGAGGAGAAAATCGTACAGACTGAATAGAACAGAGAACAGTGTAGACCATGATCAGAAAAAAATGACAATCATTTGCCTTTAGCAAATATATATGAAGCCAGGCCAGCCTGCATGTGCACAAAATCTAACCACAAACCACAATGATTTTTCCAATCAATTTTAGGAAGTGGGGAAGGGGAAAATCAGTAAGTCTTCATAAGTTTTGAGCTCTTCAAGTCAGAATAATAATAGACAAGTGGAAATTCAAAGCAGGGAAAAGGCATTCAAAGAAAGATTTATAACAGAAATAAACTAGACCTATCACTGAAGGTGATTAATACCCCCACCAGCAACTTTTTGAAAAATAAGTAGTCTGAAGAAAAATTTCAACACAAACTATCAACTGTGTACAAAGAAATATTTCAATTAATTGTAATCCCAACTGGGGTCTCCAAATAAGCTTGCCTTTTCACAAAGTTTGATTACAATATCTCATTTCCTAACTCTAGTTATTGTCCAGAAACCATTTTTCTATATTTAGTAACGGTGACCTTGACCTTGACCCCAGGGGGTCCAAATGCAATACCAAACCAAGGTTCTTCATATAAGCTTGCTATACACCAAGTTTGATTACAATATCTCATTTCCTAACTCAAGTTATTGTCCGGAAACCATTTTTCTATTTTTAGTAACGGTGACCTTGACCCCTGGGGGTCCAAATGCAATACCAACCCAGGTCTTTCATATAAGCTTGCTATACACCAAGTTTGATTACAATATCTCATTCCTAACTCAAAGTTATTGTCCGGAAACCATTTTTCTATTTTTTAGTAACGGTGACCTTGACCTTGACCCCAGGGGTCCAAATGCAATACCAACCCAGGTCTTCATATAAGCTTGCTAAACAACAAGTTTTGATAACAATATCTCATTCCTAACTCTAGTTATTGTCCGGAAAAACCATTTTTCTATTTTTTAGTAACGGTGACCTTGACCTTGACCCCAGGGGGTCCAAATGCAATACCAACCCAGGTCTTCATATAAGCTTGCTATACACCAAAGTTTGATTACAATATCTCATTCCTAACTCAAGTTATTGTCCGGAAACCGTTTTTCTATTTTTAGTAACCATGACCTTGACCTTGACCCCAGGGGACCTAAATGCAATACCAACCCAGGTCTTTTCATATAAGCTTGCTATATACGCAAAGTTTTGATAACAATATCTCATTCCTAACTCTAGTTATTGTCCGGAAACCATTTTTTCTATTTTTAGTAACGGTGACCTTGACCTTGACCCCAGGGGGTCCAAATGCAATACCAACCAGAGTTTCCACATAAGGTTGCTATATACCAAGTTTGATTACAATACCTCATTTCCAAAACTCTAGTTATCGTCCGGAAACCATGATGTGGACCGACCGACGGACGGACCGACCGACCGACCGACCAACCGACCGACCGACCGACAAGCTGACTCCTATATACCCCCCCTAAACTTCGTTTGTGGAGGTATAATGATCCTGAAAATATTAAAATTGAAGCCAAAGGTTCAATTATAACACACTCCCCAAATGCAATAACTGGTACACATGATTTGCTGTATCCATTTGTTTCTCTATTGTTAAACAAATCTCATACAAAAATGTCAATTATTATATGTCTCTGATACATATAATTGATATTTCAACCTGAAGCTATTCTTACATGAATAAGATAAGATCGATTGTTTAGAAAGTATTCAATGCAGTGTCTATTCTAGGAGGGGGGATAGGGGGATTCACTCATATTTTTTAGAATTCCCCCCTAGTTTTTCAGAGGCAGGGGGAAAATTTTACATAGAGAAAGATGGAAAAAAATCAACAAATGTAAAATATTCTCACTTTTTGATAAAAATCCCCCCTGTTTTTCAAATCCTAGAATAGACACTGCCATGTAAATAGAAGTATACCTGTCATCGGTACTCCCGGATTTCTCGGATGAGTGACTACTGGAGGAGTCAGAGGACCCTTGCCTCTGTCTACGTCTATCAAACGGAGCATCGGCATGGGCTTGTTTGTTGACAACATCTCGGTCACTGATACTGAAAATATACAACAGAAATGTAATATAATACATGGGTGAAAGTTGGAAATTTTAAAAATCCTGAATTTAGCAGTTTTTCTACAGTTTTACACAGGAAATAGAAGACTTTCAGGAGACTGAAAATCCTGAACTTCAGGAATAATCCTGAAAACTTTCACCGATGATAATATCATGTCTAACTGAATCCTTTGAGTACAGCAAGCATTATTAAAGCAGTTTAAAAGTAGACTTGTAACAGGTAATAGCCAACATAAGACAAATCTGCATCAAGTAAATCAGCCCAAATAAACGTCAAGTTGGCTGCTTTTAACTGTCACATAAACTGCCTAAAAGTCATTGCTGTCTGTAGCTGAGTGGTTAAGGTCATTGACTTCAGTATCCACTTGCCCTTCACCGCTAATGTTCTGAATCCTGCAAGGAACTTGAGATTCTTCTATGTGGAGATGCTATCCAGTAAGATTACAGAACATTGGTGGTTCTACTAAGGTGCCTGTTTGTGCCTGAAATTATGCAAAGGTTTTCCACCACCAGTAAAGCAGGTTTTGGGCAGATTTATTTTGGTTACTTTGACTGCGTTTCAATAGAAATTTTTGACAATAAAGTGACACTTAAGTTACAAATGTCTGTTGACTTGATATTTCCAACTTATTTATAAAAGTACACATTTTGATGATCTAAATCAGCAAGTGTTTGTTTTTTTACAATAATCACATTATGTGTGTAATAAAGCATATTCAATTAGCTTAAGTGCTGAAAATCTGTAAATAATAATGTACAGTTTTTTGCAGACTCATTTGTTTTGCAATGATTATTATTATCATTAATTATTTTAAGACTTAAGTGAGGCAGTTTTTTTTATATTTTAGGCAGTTTTTATATGTTATTGCTCACATAAATTTGTTATTATCAATTATTGGTAAATCACCATTAAATTAGTCAATATTTTAAAATATTTATATATCTAATCCACCTCAACTTGATAACGAAAAAACTAGCATATAATGTCACTTTAAAATCTACAAAATTTCTTATTCAAGAAAACCAGGTAGTTGCTTCAATTGATTCACTCTATAACATTAAAAAAACACTTTCTTATCATCATTGATTTCAAATCAGAAGAGAAAGTGAAATTTGGTTTGGTTTAATCTGTGCAGATTTTATCTATTGAACATTCAGCACTTCAGGCATGTTCCAATTTAATTTCTGGTGCCTCTCCTTCTCTCTCTATACATATAAAATTTCAAACGCTCAGTTTATTTTTTGATTTTGTATATTTTCCAAACATCCTGTGAGATTGGAATCTCTTACGTCACAAAAAATCCTGATAAATCTCTACGGGGAATTATATATATCAAAACTCAGTAACTTACTGAAATTTGCAAAATAATTTATGGACTGTAGTTAAGCTTATTCTGAAGTGTTAGACTGATGGCATATTGGCTGAGGTATCAGCAGCAGCGTTAGTTCAAGCAATACTTGGGTCACATTTTTCAAAGCTTTTTTGTGTTGCTTCAGTAGTTTGTTACAGACAGCTGACTGGAAATTGAATGTTTCAAATAAGGTTTTAAAAGCTTTTTTCAAGAACTTACACCCATAGAAATGAGGGGCCAGAAGTTTGGAGTTCAAACAACCTTAACCACTTTGTACCCTTCATATGAAGTCTTTTGTGTTTTTTTGCTATGACATTGCCATCAAGTCAAACTAAACCACTTCCAAACATCCAGAGAATACTTAATACACCCTAAACTGAAAATTGATACTTAACACTAAAACTGCTGACTTTGTGTAACTGAATAGTCCAGCTTTTAATGTGGAATGGTCCATCGGAAATTTAAAGGATTTCAATATCAAAATGCACAAAAGTAAGCTTCCAACAGTATAATAATTAGCCTCAGGTCAGACTGCCTGCATGTGCAGTCCATGATGATGGCAAAGGCTTCAACTTTCTGTTGCAACAGATTAAGTTTTTAATAAGTAACAATAAATTAAAATTATTATTATAAGCTTAAATTGAAAGTAGAACAAAGGGAAGTTTTTGTTAATGAAGAAATTTCAATATATAATGACGTAAAAAAAATGCAAAAAAAAAGAATGATGTAAAAAAAAGAATGCAAAAATTGAAAGGATACAATTATTTTAACTTTATTTATTTTAATTTTAACTGATGATACAATATTGCAATAAATCATTAGACAAAAAAGTAAGCCTGGCTTTCTTGATATTTTTCACCATAAAAAGGTAAACATAAAACTATTTTGACAAACTTTTAACTGACAATACAATATTGCAATAATGCAAAAAATTAAGCCTTAAATATCTGATACATGAAATTTCAAAAATAATATGAAAATAACTTTTTCACACTGAATTTTTTTTTTTAAATTATTTTTGAAAAAGAAAATAAAGATAATAATGAGTACCATGATCCAATCTGTCCCATTACTTCATTGTAATCCAGAGAAACTCCATATTATACACCCTGACAAATTCTCACATATATTCAGATACATTCAGTACTATACACTCAATGGTAGTTTTTCGGCTTTTTCCAAAATGATGAGGGCCGATCAAGGAGTAACCGAACAGACATACTGGGGAAAGGTAATTGTCTCATTGAATGGAAAGGTATGAGTGATTGAGAGCTTATCTTCAACATTTTTTTTCATTTGACAGATTGTATTAGAAGCAGCATTTCAGATGATTTAAACAATGTAGTTGCCATAAGAAAAAATAATTCATACATTATAGAATTCAGTTGCCATTGGAAACAATAATTTATACAATGCAGTAACGCCTTTGTATACAGTAATTTTTACAAAGTAGTTGCCATTGCATGGAAACAATATTTTATACACTACACTTGCCATTGGAAACACTTATTTAAATAATATAGTTGCCATTGAAAACATTTAGTTGCCATTTTAAACTATAATTTATAAAATGTTGCCATTTGAAACATCAGTCCACCTAACTGGCTTTCTAGTTATTACCAATTTGTCCCCAAGTGTTCAACATAATTTTATAATCAGTTGTGAAAGACAAATGACAATCAGACTGAATGTCTCAGAGAAATCAAGCCCTTGCCCAAGGACTGAACAAGCAATCCCTGGAGTACAAATCCAGACTGCCCTCATTATTTCACGGCGTCTCAACGCCGTGATATTGTGATGGGTAGTTTTCGGTAGCATGGGCAAAAGTCACGTGACAAAATGCCTTTCGATTTCTACAGCCGACATTTTATTGTTTTTACGCAATCATTGTACAGCCCATTTCCGTGAAAAGTTACATAGAAACAGTTTTTTTTTAAAACCATATAGAATCTAAACAGTATTTTTATCAACACACGAAATATCAGCGTTTTATATTAATACATTTCCGGACATCCTTTCGACATGCTTGAGAAATTCGCCTTGAATGGATTATGTATGGTGGCTGATTAACGCCATCCAAATATTTTCGCGTCTTCGCCTCAAAATGCGAAAATGCGAAAACACGAAGGGACGACATATTTTGACTAATGTGTTCTCATGTCGGATCTATGTCTCTCTCGGAGTGAATCTTTTCACGTGTAAAATGTCTTTGAACATTACATTCCTAAGTTTCTATATTTGCAATTAAGAACTTAAATTGTCTTTTTTTTTCAGCTCACCAGAAGCCGAAGGCTCAGGGTGAGCTATTAGTAACAAAGGGGGATACTCCGGCGTCCGTCGTCCGTCGTCATGCGTCAACAATCATCTTCTTCTCTGAAACTGCTGGGGCAGATTTAACTAAAATTTGGTCTGTAGCATCCTTGTTGATAGTCACACTTAAATTTGCTCATGTTCATTTCAATTGGCCCCTTTTAGGGTTCAGCAGAGCTAAAGATAGAAAAACCTTTAAACATCTTCTACTACAGAACTAATGGATGGATGATCACCAAACTTTGTCTGTAGCATCCTTAGGTAGTCTTTATCGAGTTTGCTCATATTAATTTGATTGGCCCTTGTAGGGGCTGCTATAGCTAAAAATAGAAATACCTTTAAACGTCTTCTTCTTACAGAACTAATTGATGGATGATCACCAAACTTGTCTGTAGCATCCTTAGGTAGTCTTTTATCAAGTTTGCTCATATTAATTTGATTGGCCCCTTTTAGGGGTCACTAGGGCTTAAAATAGAAAACCTTTAGACATTTTCTTCTACAGAACTAATGGATGGATGATTACCAAACTTTGTCTGTAGCATTCTTGGGTAGTCTTTTATCAAGTTTGCTTATATTATTTTTGATTGGCCCCTTTTAAGGGCCGCTATAGCGTAAAATAGAAATACTTTTTAAATGCTTTTTCTACAGAACTAATTGAAGATGATCACCAAACTTTGTCTGTAGCTTTCTTAAGTAGTCTTTTATCAAGTTTGCTCATATTAATTTGATTGGCCCCTTGTAGGGGCCGCTAAAGCTAAAAATAGAAATACCTTTAAACATCTGCTTCTACAGAACTAATAGATGAATGATCACCAAACTTTGTCTGTAGCCTTCTTTGGTAAGTCTTTTATCAAGTTTGCTCATCTTAATTTGATTGGCCCTTTTAGGGGTCTCTAGGGTAAAAAAAATAGAAAAAAACCTTTAGACATCTTCATCTGCAGAGCTAATTGATAGATGGTCATTAAACTTTGTCAGTAGCATTCTTAGGTAGTCTTTAATCAAGTTTGCTCATATTAATTTGATTGCTGTCCTGTTAAAGCTAAAGCTTAAATGCACTAGCATTTCTTTAAATTAAAGTTTAAAGATATTCTAAGCTAACAAAGTATATTCATTTTTATCCAAGCAAGAATTTCATAAATTTCATTGGCTTGGGTCATGACCTGTTTATGATGTGTTAATATATTTCAGCTCTGGAATTCGGACTATTGCATCATTGTAAGGTCAGTTGTAGGTCATTAACCAGGAAAAAAAAATAGGCCTAAAGAAACATAAAATTTGTTTCTCCTGTACTTTACTATCAAAGATGAGTTTATCTGCT